TTTAAAAAATATATTTAAATTTCTTTCTTTTTTCTGAGGAGACTGGTGAGGCTCTGCCTCCCTTGCCTCTAGTGACTGCACGTCCCTGCAACATTCCCACAATTTAGTGTGGAATGTTTTTTGGGGGAGGGAATATATTGTTATAGGTCTGATGTTAGTTAAGATACCACATAGAGCCAAAGCTTTCTATGCATAAAGCAATAAGCGTGATGCTGTACAGAGATGCCTCTTCTGACCTGACCCAAGGCAGCTGTTTGTTGTCATTATGGTTTAATGGCCCAAATGGGATCAGTTAACAGATGCATATAATTCATTTCCTCCACTCAAGAAGGCAGGCGCAAGGGAGAACAGTTTATATAGTAGAAGGCAGTTTGTGCCAGAACTGGGTTTGAAAAGGAGACAGACACCTTGTTTTTCTAACCTCAAAGAAAAGGGGAGATTGTGTCAAACATTGTCTTGGTGATGAAAGGAAGCAGGAACAGTATTTGTGGGTCAGAGTTTAAAGCAATGGGCAAGTGTGTGTGTGTGTCTGTGTGTGTATTAATCTTTGAGTCAGTCTTGACTCTTGCAACTGCCTGGACAAGTCCTTGAAGTTTGTGTGACAAGATTTCAAAAGTGGGCTACCCTTGCCTTCTTTTAGGGCAGAAAGAAGGACTGGCCCAAAGCCGCTTAAAGCAGGACTAAATCTCACATCTCTCAGCTTCTAGCCTTGTATCTCAACCACCCCACTAACCTGGTTGTCCAGTGAGCAAACAAAGAGCCTCAGTTCAAATGTAAACTGTTATAAGAACATGAAGAAAGTCCATATTCTGTTTAGTGGTTGTAGATTGTACAACTAGATTGTAATACATTCTTCAGCTTACCAGACTCACAGAATGGCTTACCTCCTCCTCCTCCTCCTACTATTACTACTCCTACTCCTACTGCTACCCAAAACAATATCCAAACATCTGGAGCACCATGTGAACACCATCGGCATTGACAAAATCACCAGCAGTCAATTGCAAAAGATGCTTTACTTGGAATAACGTGATGATACATTTAGCATCATCAGACATACATATCTACCTATCCCAGGTTGTAGGGAAGGACTTGATAGATAGATCGAAGTGCCAAACCCAGCCTGAAGAGCTGGCTGACTATGTGATGAATGGTAGTAATAGCCTAGAAAGGTCATGTCCTCAGAAGAAGAGGAGGAAGAGGAGGAGGAAAAAGAGGAGGGGAAAGATAAGATAAACAAGGTAAAACAATTATTTCTAGTGTTTCCATCATGCTCATTATTGAGAAGCAGGCTATTCAGGAAGACACAGTTGGTGACTACAAGAACTGATGACTTAGACTACGGTGACCCTTTTGACCTTCCTCACAAGTTAGTTACTGGAAGTTGTTGAAAGGAAAATGTGCTCCAGCCCAAAAAGGCACTGAAGCAAACTGAGATTATATCCCTTAAGAAAGAGGTTTATTATAAAAGAAAGGCAAACAAAAACTGTGATGTAAAAAAATGGCAGTAGGGAACTGGACTGGACAGGCAATGTTTTAAGCTTCTATGATAGCTCAGCATCTCTTCAGTGAAAACTCAGTCAAATGCTTACCAAGATTTGATAGACAAAATCATATTCATTTTCCCCTTCAGGGTTTGGACAATATAATCTACTATAAAGGGGGGAAAGTCCTATTTAAAATAGGCCACAGCCAAAGTTCTTTATTAGCCAGTATCAAATATCTTACATTTAACAACATTACATAAGCCTACATAAGTAAATATGTTTTTATTTTATTTTTTTAAAAACACCAACATGGTGGAATATTGCTGCCAAATTTGTAAAATCACAATTTGAGGAATTAACATGCTGTGTCTAAATATCAGAATGTACTTGCTTTCCTTCTTTTCTCGAAACCTAATTTGTGCCAGGATACCGAGGAACTATGTGACTCTTGCTGAGATAGTTGGGGTCACAGTCTCCTCTGAGAACATTGCCTTCTTAATGCTACCAGTCATTTGGACATATTTTTTTTCATCTAAATTGTTTGTTATTTTAAGAATGTCAGGCTCAAAACAGCCCAGAGGTGCAGGAAGGTTATTTTCAATTTGGTCCTTCTTGAGTTGTTTGAGTTCTTTGATGGTTCCTTCAAAAAATAGCCTTTGTTTATGAATTATATAAGAGCTATAATGTTTTGCTTGATCAAACTAAGGTCCACCTAGTCAAGGAGCTATTCTAAAGGAAACAAAATGTATCTGGAAAGACAAAAAGGAGTGGAAATAGAGCTTCATTTAGGGAGAAATTAACTGTCATGTTTATCACGATTATATTTCCAATTAATTTGGAGGTGGGAACTAGATTTGATTGGATCTAGCTCCCATCTGCCCCAAAAGTCTAGATAATGTTGATGAGCAAGTCTTGTGGAAAGCTGCAAAAGCAAATAGATGACACCATCTGTTTCTCCAAGAAATATAGGAAGCCATTGCTTCCCATCTTGTCCTGTCTGCAAGGCTGGTTCTGACCAATCTAAAGTGTTTTGTCGTTCCCCTAACAATCTCCAGGAGAAAGAGGGACTGGTAGATCCTTGAGCAGAATGGGTCTGAATGGCAGTAGTGGTGACCTTGGATTCTTTGTGTTTCCTTTAAGGAAAATGTAGAAGGATTGATTCAAGATGGATATCTCTCACTTGCCAATGTGATTCTGGAGATGTTGGCTGCCTTAATTTCCTCTTTGAGGAAAAAAATGACAATCATTACAGTTGACAGGAATTAGACTGAGAGGCTAAACTTTGTGGAGAAAAAGAGGTCTCACTTGAGATTGTATGGACCAGATTGGCCAGCCTGGGGCACCAGATCTGTTTATCATGTCGATGTATCTCCTGCCTATAGGGAAGTCATTAGGGGTGCAGGCTGAAGGTTTTCCATTCCTGTATTAATGAATCTGTGTACAATCTCAGTGGTTTGTCAGGCCTGCAGCCATGTTCCTTTTGGATCTTTGGCCTGCCACATTTCAATGCTACTATGCTGTTTCTATAGTGGGGAAATAGGAGGGGGGATAGTACAGAGTAGAATGTTACGTAGCCACAATAAAATTCCTTTCTAGATTGCCAAGGTCATCCTTTGTCTTGGTACCTCTGCACTTGACCTGAACTGGATGGGTGGAACAGCCAACATGGCAGTGGAAGATTGGACTCTGTGATGGACCTGTGGGTGTGGGGACAAGATCATGAACTTTAACTTGGGGGGAAAACGGAAGAAGTTTCAGATGTGCCAGTATGGCTCTCTTAATAAATTGGAACTTGGAGCAGCATGTTGCCTTGGACTCTAATTTAATTTTGGATACTATCTGGAACACTGACATGGTTACTGACTTTATATAATTAGTTAGTGACATTCTGCTTCCACAAATATAGACAAACTCAGATTTGTGATTTTGTTTTTTAGCTAGGATTTATTTGGGACTTACTTGGGACCTTAGACTTTAGTTGACTCTTACTTGGGACTAACAGAAGTTTGTAAACTTTAATCATATTCTTTAACATTTCATGGTTGAAAATAGGAACTCTTCTATGCAGGTGAATCAGGAAATAAGAGAATCATTTCACTGAATTTCTTCACTGAGCCCAAAGTTCACTCTATGTGAGTTAGGACTTGAAAAGCAGCTTACTGTATAATAAATAAACCCCAGCTTCCATATTTTTGCTGACCTGATAAAGTAGAAAAAACAGAAAGGAAACTATTTTACATTGTGTGCAGTTAGAAGGTCATAAATATCTCAGGCCCAAGTTAAATCCTAGTTTGACCAAAAAAGGCCAGGAGGGAAGGAAGGAGAGCTGAATTTCAGTCACTCACCACAGTCCATGCCCACGTTATGTTTCTCAGGCAACAGACACTTGAGCTGTGGGCGGCAGTTAGCAACTGCAATTGTTTCTAAGAAACCAGAAAAAAACCCACCCTGAGATTAGCTGAGATTTGTGACTATACTTAAGACAAGCTGGTGGACAAGCTGGCTGTTTGAAAAGCAACATTTAAAAAAAATGGTGAGGGAACGTTGGGAGAGTCTGTTGGTCTGGAGCTGAATTGTGGTGTTGTGGTTAAAATGATGGACTAGGAGCAAAGTACGAAGTCTGTATTTGGTCCACCACCCTTCAGCTCTGGAACTTTACTAGCTGACTTTGAGGCATCCACTTTCTCTCAGGCTAACCTACCTCACAGGATGTTTTTGGTTTATGATGTCTTGAGTTCCTAAAGGACAGCTGGGATGGAACAATAAACAAAGAATTAATTAAATAAATAAATATTCTTTTGTGTACAAGGACCTTGGGTAGAGCCAGAAGAACTGAGGCGGAGACGGGAATAAAGAGGCTAACAAGTTTATTCCCTGACAATACAGGCTAGCAGTAAAAGAACCGGCTTCAGACAGGAACGCACGCTGCTCATTTGGACAGCTCCCTTTTTATACTGGAGCTGTCAAACGACCAGCCAATCAGCTGTCGAGTAATTCCCGCTTAAAACAACTTTTATTGAGCATGCTCAGAACGTGACAGAACCCACCTCTGATGCATAGGCAGCAAAAGACTTTAGTAAATATCCCTTAGTAAAACTTTTTTTAAAAATGACCATCTGGTAGATGCCTGGCCCGGCCATTTTATGAAACTACCTACCAAAATATGTTAATCTTTTTCTTTTTATGAATTTAATTTTTATTAAAACTTTTAAACAAGAAGATAAAAAAAACTAACGCTAATGAGGAAGAAAAAAGGAAAGGAATGTGATCAAAGAAAGAGGAAAATGTACAAGAAAAGAAAAAAGTTGAAGAAAAATAGAAAAGGAAGGAAAAACGATGTAAAGAAGTAACTTGCTATATTCTTCACTGTAGTTATCCGTGTTTGGTTCAAAGGGGTCTATCATAATCACTACAAGATTTTCAGGAAAAAAGCTTTAAAAAAATTATTCCCCAGTATAATAAGGCAAGAATTTGAGGCGAGGTGGCTGCTTCCCAGG